GGCTAAGCCAATAAAAAGTCTTGAATTGCATTATCCAATGATCTAGTTTTTAATAAATATATATATAATCCAAGAGTTGGTTATTCGGTTATTTATTCGCTACTCCGAGTTTCATGCTTCATGCGAAGCAATCATCAGGCGGCGGTGATGATTATTTAGCTCCTACTTGTTGAGCACTGATTTACTCATTTACTACCAATATGGAGAAGGTTAATTTGGGCTATTCTACGAAGAACATCCCGCTGCCGAAAAACGACGAATAGTTGTTTGCCGCCTGATGATTACTTCGCATGAAGCATGAAACTCAGAGTAGCTAATAAATGACCGAATAACCAACTCTTGGATTATAATTCATCGCTCTAGTTCAGCTATTGAGCACTTTTAAGTTGATGAGAATTTCAACCCCATTCCTATATTATATATATATATATATATATTTTTTTTTTTTCTTATAACCTAGATGCTTCTGGTGCAACTCATAGGCGAACCTGAATGCTTCTTCTCTTCATCTTCAAGAATTCAGTTTTTAATGTACCACTCAAGTTCTAATGTACTCTTTCCCCTTCTATGACATTTAATAATTTTAGTATGGTTACTTTACACTGTTCAGGCTTTGAGCTGGACACATCAACATCTGGGACAGCTGCTGTCCAAGGATCGGCTTCAGCTAGCTCGTTTCTCAGCGGCGGTTCTTTTAGCGACTTCGAACTGCCCGGGCCAAGCAGCAAGGGTCTAATGACAAACATTTACTCCAGGTATCTTTCATAAAATTGTCACCCTATATTGGTAACAAACTTAGTTAAAAAGTTATAAAAGTCTTACAGCCAATAACATCACGGCAAAACCAACCGATCATTTCACACGAACTGGAATAAGAACATTCTACTGACAACAATCATTCACTCGACTCTGATGATGACTTCCGCACAGGTTGTCGAAACGTCAGTCACTACCACCGACAACAGTCCTTCTCAGGACTACACTCACCCGGACGATCAGACTACACCTTCACATGTTACCCCCGGGTTCAAACCATTTACTGCAAAAAGTTATAACTTAGCAAGCATTTCGTTAATTTACCGATATTTGATACGGTATCTAATCTGAATACAAGCTGTGTTAAAAGTAATTATTTTCAATAGTTCTAGCAAAACACAGACCCCCGGTAGTTCTCTGAGAACACCTGCTCCAGGACCAAGTCTCGTGACCTCGAGCAGTACCTACCGCAGAACACCCAGCTCACGTCGTACCCCACACATCTCAAGCACAACTCCAGGAATGCCAACTTCTTCTGTTGTGGTTGGTAGGTTGACCAGCGATGTTTATGTCATCTGCTATTGCGACAGTTTGAGTAGTAATTACCTTCGACGAGATCTTAACTTCAAAAATATGCCAAAATCAAAGGCTCCGAGGCAGCACCTTCCACCTTGCTACCCACCGGATTTGTTCGAGTTCAACCCATTGGCTGTGTTTTGTAAAAAAAAACCAGCTGGTCTGCCTTCTGTCAGTTTGGATTCTTAACCAGTTTATACTTATTTAGAATACTTTTATTTACATTGACACACGCTTTTAAAAGAGAAAGTTGAATATGCGCCAGATAAATTCCTATATCATCATCAATATTGTTGTTTTTTTCATTGCTTTAGGTATTATTTTAATATTTTTATTATTACTATTATTATTATTATTATTATTATTATTATTATTATTATTATATTTTTCATCTATTGATCGGCGATTTTAATTTTCGCAAAGATTCTTCTTCCTCCAACAATTTCCCCTCGCCGGTTAAATCGCCAAATCAAATGCCATTCTTTTACAAAGGAGTGCTATGAAAATTTCAGCGCACGAAGACACAATGGCGTATGTAGTTTGCAATTGTGACCTTTTATTTTTCTTAAAGCAATCGTAGAAGGACGTGGCCTTGCAAAAGGAGAAATTGGGATGGCTAGCATCGACCTGAAGAAACCAGAACTGAACTTGTCACAGGTCCGCCATCATCACATTATAAATTAGCTCTATGTAAAATTACGCAGGATTAACTCATTCTGTTATTTCCTGTTTTACTGCACGAAAGTTAAACTATTCAAAACAATCATTAGTCTTATGTGTTAAGTTCTCAGATAACCAGACTTACGTCAAGGTTTTAACAAAAATGCAGATTTTGGAGCCTTTGGAAGTAAGTTGGTAACTGATGCGTATTAATTTACGAACGTTAATTTAAAACAAATTTGTTTCAAATTTTCCTGCTCTACCTGTTCACACGCTATTGTTTTTGTTGATGTTTATGTTTAAGCTCAAACTCCAATGGTTATTTCTGTTTTGTCTAGTTTTGTTCTGTTTTTGACTTTGTTCTTTTGTTTGGCTTTGCTATGTTTTCGTTTTTATCAGATTATCATGCCTTATACAGCGTGTGAGAACCCTTCTGCGCTATTCAAGTTTCTAAGTGAGCAGATACCTTACGCAAACTTATCATCTGTCCAGCGCAAATATTTCAACGAGGCGAAAGGTAACGTATTTTTCATTTCGGCAAGTTAAATAATGTCTAACCAACAATATAGCTTTCACTGCTGTCAATAATTCTCTCAGTCCATTTCTAGAGAGGATGAGAGGTCTCTTGCTCATTAAAATTTCTTGAGCAGTCATTAGTTTTTTTTGTTTCAGGCTTAGATTACGTGAAACAACTCTGTGTTCCAGAGTATAACACTGTTGAAATGGAGGTAGCTTCAAAGTGAGTTGGTATGACAATAGTTTTATTAATTAGATGATCGTATGCTCATCGATATCAAAGTTGTTTTGATTTCCCCACATTCGACTTTTAAATTTAATGTCCATCGACGCCATACGATCAGATGAAATTCGTATCACTTGTAGAAAACACTCGAATTTAAGGATTGTCAACTTTTTATCGGAAATTTTTCATGTCAAATCGGCAGCGTGGAATACTCAGACAATCCGTTTACGGTTTCAATTTTTCCGCACGCTTAAAGGTCTTCGAGAAGCCCAAGCACAATAGGTGGTGTGCAAGGTGAAGTTGTGATTCGAAAGTTGTCTTCACATTCAGATTGATAAGTCGATTTTTTCCTTTTCTTTCTCAGGTATTATTGTCTTGCAACGGCAGCCGTAAGTTTTGAACATGATTTTTATTATTTATTAAAAGACTGTCTCAGTTTCGTCAAGGCGAATTTTGCATCTTGGCTCTAGTACTTTAAGTCTCCGTCATAAGTCTGGGAGTGTTTAACCTTGACGTTGAATTGACAGGCTTTGCTCAAGTACGTGGAGTTTATTCAGAACGTTGTTTATGCTCCTGGATCTATTAAAGTAGTGTTCAAAGGGAGCGAGAAGACAGCAATTATAGGTAAGAGCATACCCTCTACCATTTAGAATAGAATTAGTTAAGTGACAAGCTTTAAAACGAATTAAGACAAAGAACAAAATTATAATTGACCTCATCCCTCCCTCTCTTTCCGCCATTCTCTATTAGACTGGAGACTAAAACAATCTCCAGCTCTCTGTCCTCTGACTCGGCCTCTCAAAGAGTAATTTGGATATATCAACAAAGTTGAAATGGTAAATTGGCCACCGTAATGATTACAAAAGCTGACGTTTCGAGCGTTAGCCCTTCGTCGGAGCGAATAGAGGAATTGTGGGTTGTGTGTGCCTTCATTTTAACCTAAGCATTGCGTAATTTTTCAGATGCCTCAACTATAAAGAACTTAGAACTAATTCAGAATGCCAGGGACCCTGAGAGTGGTCACTGTCTTTGTGGAGTTCTGAATCACACGAAGACAGCTGGAGGAGGTAGAGGGAGACTTATCTCTTTTATGCTTACTTCTAATTTCTAAACTAATCGAGATTGACTCGGCACTTCTATGGATTGGTCGACGTGTCCACGTCTCACTTACTTGCAATGCTTTGTTATCTTGTAGCCCGTCTTCTGAGGTCAAATATTCTTCAACCCCCTTGTGGTGAGTAAGAACAATCTGTCTTCCTTTCAGTGCACTTTGAAAAGCTGAATTCTC